ATAAAAAGGAGAAACTTGAACACAAAGACACACATAGAAAGAAGATGACATGAAGACACAGAGGGAGAAGTCGACCATCTACAAGCCAAGGAGAGAGGTTTAAAACAGATCCTTCCCTCACAGCCCTCAGAAGGAACCAGCCCTGCCAACACCTTGATTTTGGACTTCTAGTCTCCAGAAATGTGAGACAATAAATTTCTGTTGTTTAATCCACCCATTCTGTAGTATTTTGCTACAGCAGCTCTAGCAGACTAATATACTAGCACTGATTTTTTTTTTTTTGTAAAAGAAAAAAGATTAATTTTAGATGTGAATCTAAATTTTAGAAATTGAAACTGACGGAGAAGTGAAGGAAACAAAACAAATCTAAATTTGGTTTTCTCTTATTTAATAATAAAATTGCTAATCTGAAATTTTCATTTTTCTTCCAGTTGATTTAGCATTGTGTAAAAATAGCCTGAGTATGAGATATGTTTTCAAAACTTTGTTTTTTCCCCCAAATCTTCAGGATTTCAAGAAAATGATTTTAAAAAAGAAAGGAAGGAAGGAAGAAAGTAGCCTACTCTCTTTCTTACCTTGCCAGTTTTAACAGCAGCTCCATATCCCGTGGAAAATCCACAGCCAATTAAACAGACTTTCTCAAGAGGAGCGGCATCATCGATTTTAGCAACAGAAAATTCATCCACCACGGTGTACTCAGTAAATGTACTGGTGTTTGCGAAGTGATAGATTGGTTTGCCCTTGCATGTAAATCTGGTAGTGCCATCAGCCAGTACTCCACGACCGGTGATACTATTTGATATGTCGAACACATGTATCAGTTAATTCAATTCAAAAATTAGCACAGGAGCAATTTAAATGATATTAGAGTAAAATGACTGAAACCTACTCGCTCCTAATGCAAAGGTTGCCATTTGGGTTGCGGCAAGCATTGCATTCTCTACACTGTGGCACGAAGAGAGGGATGACTTTATCACCTAGAGGAAAAACATCCTGACATAAGGTGCTGTTCATTAGCATCAAAATATGAAATAAGCAGATGTGAATTGAGCCCATACTACATACAAAAATTTCTTAAAAGTACTGTAAGGTTTATAAGCACCATAAGGTTTGCTTGCTAAAAGTTGAGATTTTGCCAAATTAAACATCATTCAGTAAAATCCATCCCCCTAGTATCCCTTTATCCCCCTACATTGTGTTAAGGCTCTTTCTAATAATTCCTAGTGTGTGCTATTTCCTTGACAGGGTAATCAAAGACTGCTTGTTTCAAACTTGTGATTTGACATCCACATACCTGGTTTCACTGTGGTGACTCCTTCCCCAATGCTCTCTACAACCCCAGCTGCTTCATGTCCCACAATCACTGGAAACTTAGCCACCATTGTTCCTTTCATCACGTGGTCATCTGTGCGACAGATTCCTGTGGCCAAAATCTATGCTCAAAGACAAAAAAACATTGCACCAAACAGCACACTGGTCGTTTTACAGTTGGGAAAATATCTAACTTGCTATTGAAGAGGTTATATTTGTTTATTCAATATCATTGCCTACTATAATAGTGTCGTCTTTTAGAAGATTGAGCCTAAAATCAACCATCAGAAAAGATCCCTCTCTCACAATAATGCCGCCTCTGGCTCTACTTTGAATTTTGTTGCCTTTCTGTATTAAATTGGTGCTTTTGTGAGGGCACAAAAATGCAGATGTTACCATGTGACTGGCACAGAAGTAGATTTTTATAGCTAGGTCCTCATAAGATTCTCTTAATGAAGAATACAGAGAACGGTGTGCCAGATCTTACTACTACAGAGCTCAAGTAACAGGAGAGGGTCGAAGTGAGGTTGGCAGCAATGTCTGCTCAGCAACTCGTGTCCAAACCAAAGGTTAGGCTCTGTTGAAAGGATTGTCGGGAAATGCTCCAGGAAGTTGTCATTTCTCCAGGCACAAACAAGATCCTCACTTTTTGTAAAAAGTAATCTCAATACACTTTGATCCCCAAAATATTTTTAAGAGAAGTCATTAGTCATTATTATTAAACATTTTATAAGTCAATAAAAATTCGACAAATGAAAGCTTTATTAGATCAGGTTAGCATTGTTGTTTTTTTAATGGAAAATGAACTCATTTATTTCACATCCAGTATGTCCAGATCCCTAATAATGTACAAGAACTGGTAAAAGAATGAATACCCAAAATTTGGGAAACATTTTCTTATTTAAGAATCCAACCTCACAACAATGATATACACAATATAGGTGTGACAACATTTTAGGCTTATATACTGCAAGGCTCTTTCTTACCTTAATGCGAACTTCTTTAGCCTTTGGTGGGGCAACTTCTATTTCCTCAATGGAGAAGGGTTTATTCTGTTCCCATAGTACAGCTGCTTTGCATTTAATAACCTAAGAAATTGGTAAGTATTATAGTGAGTTCCTAGTTATGTCTTTATAAATACAGACTCCTCAAATAATAAAAATATGAAGAGATTGCATATGATATTCTAATTTTTCCAGAATGGTTTTTATCAAATGCTAGAATTATAAGCCTTATGGATCATCATCTGTACACCTTTGTTTGATGTATGAGAAATGCAGCCCAAAGAGACTAAATGATTGATCCATGGTTACATAGCACATGGGATGCAGAACCGGACTAGATTGGAGCTACACTTTTTCCAACCCATTGCTTTTATTGCTGGTGTTCACATAATATTGCTCTAAACTAGATTTTTTT